AGGCATTCGTGCTCTGAACCTCATTAAGACTCTAAAGCCCCCTGGTCTGAAGGCTGCTTGAACTGTTTGCATAGTGCCAGGTAAAAACAATCAAACCTCTTTGGAAAAACACAACTTGCAACTCCTGAGCACTGTATTGGATTCTGTTTTACAGCAGACTGGGGAAACCCTCAGGATAGTTAATGGATGAAGGGATGGAGGATCAGAGGTGGTTGGTTCTCCAGAATCACCAAGTTCCCAGAGTCAGAGCAAGAAACCACAACACATCCAACCACAGTTCTTTCTGCTGCTTTCCCCTGAGTGGCAGTCGAGGCTGCTTTTTTTCCATCTGCACGCTTCTGTTTTGAGGGAGGGCTGGGTAGCAATCCATCTGTTGTCTCTCTGGCAGGCTCTTTTCTGTATCCCAAGCCTGGCCTCTGGCCTCAGGAAGCAATCAGGCAGATCTTATAGTCACCAGCAAGGGCACCTTGTTCAGGCTCTAAGTGTAGAGTTGGGCTAATGGCAGTATATGTGACACCACCCCAGCTGGCTTGGCAGGAGCACTGCCTCCTGGCAGGGTTCACCCAGCCTAATTGCTTGTTTTGTGTCCCAGCTGCCTGACATATGCTAATTCCATGTGTTGACACTCTGATAACAGGGACAAGCACACTAAGGCATTTCAAATGGCTTTCTCAAGCTCTAGCAAGTGACCAAGAACTGGGATTTATATACGTTGGTAAATCTAGCAGCCAGCACAGTGCCTGGCTCCTAGGAGGTACCTGGGATTTTTGTGACTATAGACATATGACACAGCAGTCACAGTAAGGATTTATAAGTGAGAACTAAGCTTAGCCAGTTGTGTTCATCTCTGGGTGACCTTGAGCAAATATTTTCTCCCTGGGTTTCAAGTTCTTGGTCAGCTGCAGCCCCTGCTTACTCTACCTACGAGAAGTGAGTCACAGCCCCAGGCATGTGAGGTGGCTTTGTAAATGTGAACAGTGCGATTGTAGGACAATCAAAGTCACTGAGAAATGCTCTTAAGTATAGAGGAGCCCAGAGGAAAGGGTGATTAATTGTACCAGGAAGAGTTGCTGACAGCTTTCCTGAAGTGTTGACAGTGGGAGTCATTCTAAAGATGACTAGAAAATAATACCTCCACTCTCCATTATTCCAAGAAAGTGATCAAGGAGAAAATAAGAGACATTGTCCTAGTTTGCTTTCTATTGCTGTTATTAAACACCATGACCAAAAGCAACTTGAGGAGGAAAGGGTTTGTTTGGTTTGCATGTCCTGATCATAGTCTATCATGAATGGTTTGAGGGGAGGACTCAGGGCAGGAACCTCGAGGCAGGAACTGAAGCAGAGACCGTGAAGGAATGCTGCTTACTTGTTTGCTCTCCATGGCTTGCTCAACTTGCTTTCTTCTACAACCCAGGATCACCTGCCCACAGTGGTCTCGGCGTGCCTACATCAACCATTAATCATGAAAATGCCCTCACAGACTAGGCCTATAGGCCGATCTGATGGTGGCATATTTTCAATTGAGATTCTGTCTTCCAAGATGACCCCAGTTCATATCCAATTGAAAAAAAAACCCAGCACATGCATCATACATATGTATAGGACTGTGACAGAGACCCCCCCCCCCCAGAGAGTGACTATTATTCTCACCCCTGGTCAGTGGTACTTACCATAACACCAAACCTGACCTTTAGTATGAAGTCAGTGACCCAGGAGAATGTAAACATCAACTCATTTGAGCTCATGAGAACTGATTATTAAATGTTTAGAAATTTGGTAAGCTGGTTGCTAAACAGCAAAGGCTGTTCTTCCAGAGGACACAGATTTGATTCCCAGGACCCACGTCCTAGGAATGGCTCACAACAGTCATTAACTCTAGTCCCAAGAGAGCCTATGCCCTCTTCTGAGCTCCATGTGCACCAGGCATGCATGTGGTACACAGACATACATACAGGCAAAACACTCATATGCATAAAATAAAATTTTCAATTTAAAATTTAAAAGCTAAGCTATATGAAATTGAAACATATTAAAAGGTTATAAATAACTCAAAACTTATTGCTTCCTAAGTATTTGATAATATTGTATAATTGTCATTGCTTTTGAGCTTGTCTGAGACTAATATGTCCCTGAGATAGAAATATTACTTAATAACATCCTATTGTGCACTCCTTCTCAACTCTGTATTCAGTGGCATCAGGTTGGTAGCTTGAATTCAGCCATGATGGGAGTATTTACACCATAGGAAAGGGTAAACACCACAGATTGCAAATGCCTCCCTCCCTCGCCTCTCAATTTCCTACTCTCTCACTCTCGGTCTCTCGTCTATCCTGAAGCATTTAGTAACATCCCACTGACAGTGTCTATTGAATAACTGCACAGAGAAAACAATCACTGGGAAACCTACCTAGCACACACATCTTTTTAAACTTCCCCTGACGAAAGCACACAGCATGAAGCATATACAGAGACCTCCACAAAGTGACTTCCCATCTCCTTTGCTCCGGGGAAGTCCTAATATTAAACAGGGTTCTCTTGACAACTGAAAGCCCTGGTTAAACAGAAATAGAATGGAAGTGTTTTCCTCTAGGACTTGGTTTCTAAGCCAAATGCTTGTCTTGCCATGAGGCCTCTGTGGCCTGCAGGGGCTGGGGAAGTCAACTTAATCTTCTGCAGAATCCAAAGCAATCCACAGGAGCCTGCCCTAAAATTATATCTGCTCTGGTTTGCCGAATGGAGACTAAATGATAGCCAAATGGCGCTGATTTAATGTTTCCCAGCAACCAGAAAATCCCCACAAGAGAGATAAATCAGAGGATGCTGGTCTGCATGTGCATGGGGTGGGGGTAGCCAGGGCAGCCCCGTGAAGGAAACCACTGTCGGAGAGCTGGTTACTATCCAGGCAGAATCCAAAGGTACTGTACATGTCAGGAGGCTGGATCATAGCCAGAATCTGAGGTGCTGAGATCTGTTAGTAATTCACTGGAAGGACAAAGTTCCAGCAATACAAAATTCAATTGTCCTCCATTAAAGAAAGCCTCTCTCAGTACCAGCTGAGTACAATTGATGAATAAATCCCTCCCATTAGTGGAAAGATAATTTCACATAAATACATCGGGAGACCTTCAGAACAGGACTGAAAGTCTTTGCTGAGCCTCACCTGCTTAACTGGTTTGCCATGTAATTGCATTTAGACCAAGGGCCTCAGAAGGAAACCACTGACTGAATTAGCATTAGTCAGACTCTGCAGAGTGAGGTGAGCTGAGGTGTGCAGGGGTGCGGGGGGAGGCATGTGGTGCATTGTGGGTAGTTGTTGTTGCCTTCAGAAAGGAAAAGCTGACTTGAGTGAGACCAGCTGCTTACAAGCCTGGTGTTAATTGCTTTTCTCATCAAACAGAGAAAAGTTTATCACTTGAGGGAAGTAAGGATCTGGGGTGCCTAAGAAAGATGGGATAGAGTTTGAGATTTTTTTTTCATTAGTGCCCACAGGCCTTAATAGTAGCTCTTCCATAGGCCAGAAGGAAGGGGGTTCCTGAACCAGGAAGGGAAGGTGAGCAGAGCGCCTGCATTGTTCCGGAGAGCGGTCATCAGTGGCTGTGTCCACAGTGCCCTGATCTCACAGAGCACTCACCTGAACCAGCATCTTCCTCCCCATCCATTGCTCCTGCAGACACACAAATAGACCTAGCATCTGGCCTAGAAATGTTAGGTCTACAGTCCAGCCTCCTGCACCCACCTTCCTGGTAGCCTTGGGCAAATATGAAGACCTCTCAATCTCCTCATTACAAAACAGAAAGGATCTTGGCAACTTTCTGGATGGTTCCTTCAGAGGTTCCATCAAATGGTCTTCAGAACCAACAGTGGGAGGGAGGAATTCTGTCACCATTGCATCTACGGCAGGTCTTCTCTTGGTTTGTTTTCTACTTTGAGGTCTTCAGGAAATATTATCTATCAAATTATTCTATTTCTGAAACCTGTGAAAATCATCCCTCTGGATGATTGCTAATGCCTGTTTATTTGCACAGTCCCGTTTCTTCCTCTGTGACCGAGTACTTGCCAGGCGTGATCCAGGCACTGCACTTCGGAGAAAGCCTTGCCATGTCCTCAAACTGCTCGGTGTCTGGGTGGAGAGGAGAGGGATGTGTAGCTTGGCAAGGTACCAAGACCTTGGTGTGTGGTTTTGAGGGAGTGAGATGTGAGTTCTGAGCAGAAACATCAAGAAAGGCTTTACAGAAGTCCTTTGAAGTGGGTGTTGAAGGACGAGACTATCGGACTGTGTGTTGAGATGACATTTTAGGCAGATGGGAGAACATCACACAGACACAGGCACCACACAGCATTCTCCTGGAAAATGCAGGGAAAGTGCTTGTTGTCTAGAATACTAGGGACAAGGGGGAGGGAGCTTGGGACAGATTCCCAAGAGGGTGTTATCATTTATCCTTCTCTTTCCGATGCTAGGTAAAAGGAAGTATAACCCTCCATCCTGTTCTCTTGTGTTCTCACTTCCAGTAATAAAATGATGGCTGTTGTTACTTGCCATACCATTGCTACATTGCACCAAGATAAAAAAAAATTAAAAAAATTTAAAAAAAGGAAAACAGAAACAAAAAAAATGAGGCTCAAAGAACTGCACAAGTTCAGAGATCTAGAAAGTAGCAGAGCTGGGACTTGAACCTAGACCACCCAACTCTGTCATCACATGCTTAACTATACCATTTTCTCCCTAGGATCAGCTTTCTCCCCTCACATCAGATGGCAGCCTTAGAAAAACAACTTTAGAGTGAGATACTGGAAAACATTTCCCCAGAGTATTTATCTCAAGGACACGTTAATACCTTGAGAGATGATTTCTTTAAGAGATTATTATTTGTATGAAGTGAACACGTGGGGTTCCTGGGTGTTAGTCATGTCTAAATGACCAGCCTTCTGCCTATGACTTCTAGGGCTTCCCTGCAGACAGTGAAATGTATTTCATGTTCTTCTCTCTTCTCTTCCCACAGGCATGCTTGTGTCATCCGTGGACAAGTGATGACATCAGATGGGACCCCACTGGTTGGCGTGAACATCAGTTTCATCAATAACCCTCTCTTTGGATATACAATCAGCAGGCAAGATGGCAGGTAGGAGACCCTTTGTGGGCCGGGAGAGTTATGGCCTGAGAGTTAGGGGCTGTAGTCTTGCAGCATAACTGCCCTTGGATTGATTATGTGGACAGAGGGTCAGACCTGGACCTAGATGGCCTACATTCTAACGTCAAGCTCTGCAGCCTACTGTTTCATGACCTGTGCCTGCCTCTAGTCTCTGTCCCTTTGGCTGTAGATGTAACACCCTCTTCTCGTGAGGCTCTCACATAAGCAGAGAGCTCTTTATCCATACTATGCTGCCCACTGACCCCTCATGGGAATAATGTCATGGAACTACTTTATAATGGATAAAATGGCTCCTGGAATCCTACTACTACTACTTTGGTTTCTACTTTCAACTGCTTAGAGGTTGCTCCAAAAGAAGCCATTTAGGTGACAGCAGAATTTTGGCCTTTTAATTTCCCTGAGAACCATCAACAGTATGAAGTAAAGCTAGGGGGTTGTTAATGGCCCTGGACCTCCCCCCACCATGTGAGTAGAGTATGCTTGGACAAATATTGCCCCCCTCAGACCCTCAGCTTCTTCATCTGAAGCATGATTCTAACACCATCCACCTCATACACTGGATGTGAGGATTAAAGGACTAGATAGGACAGTATGGTGAATGAGGAAGCACCTAGCTTATAGTTTGTGTCTAATAAATCTCCTGCCACCAAGGATTCACTTCCTAGTGTGACACATAGTAAGTAAGTAAATAGTGGATGGGAAAAATACTAATTATTACAAATTGTTGAATAACGAGGACAGAGTAGCACAAATATTTCAGAGCAAAAGAGGGCAAGTGGGATATTTAGGCTGTCGATGGTGAGAAGTCCTCTATTTTTAATGAAATCAGGTGATGTCAGTCCATCTGGCTGAGCGTGGGCCCATAAGGTTGATTCCTCACTCTGTGTTGGAAATTGTGCTCCAGCCTGATTGATTTTAGCACCTCTTTAATCCAATATCAGATGTGAGCATGTCCCAGCCGAGGCGATAATGAAGCAGGACTCATCTGCGTGGAGACATGTGTGCCTCTTAGACAGCTTGGCAAGCTGTGTGGGGAGCCTCCCCTCCCCCATGGCAGTGGGAAGGGCACAGCTTAGGAGAGGTCTGTGCCAGTCCACAGGGAGGAAACTGGCCGGGCCAGGCCACTGTTCCCTGCCCTGCACAGTTTCTGCCCAGAAACCCCTTGGCAAACACCCACCAGGGCATGAAGGAGCTTCCTTTATTGCCTGTCTTCAGGTTTTGGATAGTACAGAAATGGCAGCTGTGGGAATCCTGAGCCATGGGTATTCTTAGTACATTACCGCCCACAGGGGAACAGTCATCCAAACAGGAGCTTTTGGAGATTGTTCTTTTCGCCACAAAACTTACCACACGAAAAAGCAATGTGTCAGTCAGTAGGCCCCCTCTGTGCTTGCTTAGACTAGGACCATAAAACATGCCACAGTAATCCTACATGTTGTGACCTTAGGACTCGCCTATTCTTTGGGGTCTTTGGGTTACAATTTCCCTGTTTGTGCTGGCCATATCTACTGTTTCTTGAAGGCGTTGAGCACCAGGAGGGAGGTTTCCTGCATCAGCCTCCCACGCTGTGACATAGAAAGGGTGCTGCTTAGAGCTTGCATTTTAAATAAGTCCTTGCCCATACACCACGGACCTAAAGTGTTCTTTCCAACACAGACATAATGTATGGGAAAGTTATCACTTCTTCCCATAGTGTGTGAATCTCCCTCTGTTGTATGTGAACAGGGAGCATCTGGCCCACTCCACTCCTCCTTCCTTGACTCAGTTTCGCTTATGCCTGATATATAGGAGAAGCCACGAGGCTAAAGATAGTCAGGAGATGAGAATGAGTGTGTGTGCACTGAAGACCCAGGCTGCATCTGACTCACCTGTACAATCTGTGTTTTCCAGGCAGCACCAGGACACTCTCACCAGTTCCCTACCCACAACTACACACACACACACACACACACACACACACACACACACACACACGATGTCAAATTTTAACAGTAGCTCATACACAGAAAAATAGTAACAGAGAAGATACTCAAAAAGATGGAAATGCAAGCCATGAAGGAAAACTAAGAGACCTGCAGATAAGAGAAGCAGTTTAGGCTCGCTGACTTGAAGAGTGAGGTTGTGCTGAGCAGGATGCCCAGGGAACACTTGGCATCTTGTGCTTGCCCTCCCATCACTAATTAGTAACCCTGCCAAAGGATTTTGACGTTCAGCCTAATTTTACAGACGGAGAAACTGAGACTTGGAAAGGTGATATAACTCACCTGCAATGTAAGAGTGGTGTTTGACCAGCAAGAGATAGGCTCCATTTGAGAACCAGGCCTTCCCTCTGGGGTCAAGTCCATGTTCACACCTACAACAAGGTTTCCCAACAGGATGAGGAGGCCTGGCCTCAGACCATTTCACTCAGCCCCTGGCATGACCAACTGCCCCGGTCTGTTCACAGCCTTGAAGAAAAGTCTTTTCTTGTTTGTCATCCCTCCCTTCCTGCAGGCTACCTCTATTGAACAGAGCTTTTGAGTCCAGCCAAATTTGTGTTTGGCTGTTAAAAATTCAAATACAGATACTCATTCGTTCTGTGACAGGAATACCACCTTGTAAGTATTTCCCCCAGACTGGGGGTATTCTCGTAAAGAACCACACCCTGAACTCTTGGACTACAATAAATGCCTACCCTTGGTGTTTCTCCATCATCCCTTCCTGAAGGAGTGTCATGTAACTTCTAAACATTAACATAAAAAAGGCCACGAGCAGTTAAGTGTGTGGAAAACTCCCTTGGAAAGAAGAGTCTGCCTTTGGAGTTTGAAGAACCATAAACAGGGTCATCTACCATAAACAGAATTTCCTCCAGGACAGGATGGTTGAATACAAGATTCTTGCAACCTCTAAGGAAGGGAAGAGTAGCAAGTTGGACAGCCAAAGCTAACCAAAGTTATGTGTCCAGGTAAAGATGAGAAATCCTGCATTGAGGAGGTCCCATAGACCAGCAGCAGAGGTAATCACTGGGTTGATCTGAGTTAGTAGCCAAGGTAAGGCTTGCCCATTTGGCAGTCAGTTTAGAAACAGTGGTAGTGTCTCATGTATTCATTCTGTGAGCTACTAGCTAGACCTGTCCCTAGAAAGACAGAGAAATGGACGTCCTAGATACTAGAACAATTACAGTGCATTGCAGCATGGGCTGTCAGGAGTTTCTGTAATACAGCAGAACCCAGGGAGAGAATGAGAATTTTATTTGAGCAAGGCTTTCTTATGGCAGGCTCTGCAACCCTAGCTTGCCATGATAGCACACACCTGAAATCTCACAGCTTTTGAGGCCAGAACAGAAAGATTCTGAGTTGAAGAACAGCCTGGTATACACAGAGAGGCTCTGTCTCAAAGAATAAACCTGTAAAGCAGAATGGACCACCTAAGAGGACTTTGTCCAAGGAGATATTGCAGTGGAGGAGGGCTGGCAGACAGTGCTACTGGTCTCAGGTCACCATAACAGATAAAACAAGCTCAATACACAAGAACTAGAAGGAGGGAGGCCCAGGCATGTTCAAAAACTAAAGTCCTAATGGTCAGAATTACTCAAAGATGGTCCTGTCCTTCTGTGGCTACAGCAAGCTCTTGGTGACTGGATCTGTGCAAGTATGAAATGAACAGCCCCGTGCTGGTGGTTCAGTTCGAAGGGAGTAGCCCTTCACATTGGGAGAGACATGGGAACATGACCACTAAGTTCATATCTCAGGGTTCAGCTATTACATGGCTTCACACTTTCTTTTTAGAAAAAAAAAAAAGCAAACTGTAGGCTGAACTCTCATACACCAAACACAGGGCTTAAAGTGACAGGCAAACACTGGTCTTGGCTAAGCAGACCTATCATGCAGGATATGTTCCACACCTTGATTTCCAGCCCCTGTACCTATAACCTGAGCTCTCCCACCCTCTGATCGTGTGGCTATAGAACAGAGGCTAGCATCCCTAGAGTGCCTGCAACTAGCGGAAACATTAAGGTATGCAAATGAGAACTCACATTCCTTGACTTTCAAAACTGAAAGGTGCGCATCATGGTTTATAAAGGCAAGGGCCGCATAAGGTTTATCTGAGGCACCAGATCCCAACAACGGCTAATATGTTTCTGGAGGAGTCCTATCTGGGAGTAAGGTACTTAGGGGTAAAGCGAGGAAGATTTTCATCTACATGATCTCACACAAACCTAAAACAAGAGGCCCAGGGTAGAGCCGTCTGAGGCAGCAAAGGGTCTGGAGAACACAGAACCAGAACAAGAATCAGGAGCATGCATTACTGCTCAGAACACCCTTAAAGAGCCATGAACCAAAGCTGGGCTACTGTCTTTGGATACTTTGTTGCAATAATCTCACTTCAGCCGGGCACTTGGGTTTCCATCTCCCCTTGTACTTACAAGAACTGTGGTTCTAATCACACAGTCTCAAACTGCTTAGCTGCTTAGGACTCGGGAACAACCCCTCTGAGAGATGGACAGATGGCCTGGTGGGGAATGTACTTCTGTGTAAGCATGAGAACCTGGATTTGGATCCCTACCACCCACATAAAAGCTGGGAGGGAGAGACATATGAATCCCAGGGCCTTACTGGACAGTTAGTCCAGATGAAACTATAAGCTCCTGGTTCAATAAGAGACTTGTCTCAATGCCCAGACCTAGTAGTGCATGCCTTTAATCCCAGCACTTGGGGGGCAGAAGCAGGAAAATCTCTGAGTTTAAGGCCAGCCTAATCTACATAGTGAGCTCCAGAACAGCCAGGACCATATATAGACCCTATCTTAAAAATAAATAATAATAATAATAATAATAATAATAATAATAAACAAAGTGGGGATGGAGGAGAGAGCTATCTCAAATAGCAATATGACATAGAGAAGCAACTGAAGAAGATACGTATACCCATATCAAACTGTGGTCCCCATACATACACAGACAGATGCATGTGCATATATGCATGTACACACACACGCACACACAGAGAGAGAAAAAGAGAGAGAGAGAGAGAGAGAGAGAGAGAGAGAGAGAGAGAGAGAGAGAGAGAGGTGAACCTTTGGGTTTCATACAGAGAAAAGTAAAGCTCAAAGAGGCCACATTATAGTTCCCAGAAATAAGGATTCAGTGCAGGGTTCATGATGCCCAGGGAACACTTATTCAATCTCATTCTGCTGGCTCTTTGTGGGCTCTGGCTCTGATACAGTAACAGCACCAGGCGCTCCACAGCAGAGATTTACCAGCTGTCTGGGTCCTACTAAACAGTTCCCGCTGCAGTGGTTAATTTGGCATCTGTAAACTCTCCCTTGGCCAATCATCTTATAGCAATAACAAATGGTTTCTGGGGTCACTGTCACTGTCTGTGGCTGCAATCAGGTCTCTGGGTGTCAGAGTAGTGCTCACCAGGTACTCAGCCCCTTCCTGTGACTTTCAGGATCGCGTTGTTCTCCTCCTCTTATTTCTGCTGTTACTGTCCCCCACCCGCAGCTTTGACCTGGTCACAAATGGCGGCATCTCCATCATCTTGAGATTCGAACGGGCACCCTTCATCACACAGGAGCATACCCTCTGGCTACCCTGGGACCGCTTCTTTGTCATGGAAACCATCGTCATGAGACATGAGGAGAATGAGATCCCCAGCTGTGACCTGAGCAACTTTGCCCGTCCCAACCCCGTGGTCTCTCCATCCCCACTGACATCTTTTGCCAGCTCCTGTGCTGAGAAAGGCCCTATTGTCCCAGAAATCCAGGTACCCAGACTTCTTGATGACATCAAGCTATTCTTTTATTTTATTTGGAGGCAGAAGATAATCTCACAGACAATAGAAAAAGAGAAAGCGCCTGTACGGGCCTGAGTGAGACCCCGGTAGCCCGCGTTGCCAAATCTCATAGTGGACATGGCATCAGGATATAAAGGCTATCTTACATGCTGAAGACTGTGGCATGCCTCTATTCCGCCTGGTACATGGGCCCTTACAATAAACTCCTTGGCTCTTCCTACCCTGCCTTCCTATTTATTCTACTCTGTTCTTCAGTTTTCAGAATCTTACCTCTCTTGGTATTTCTGCTATAAGTATTTATAATAATAGCTTCTATGAATAGGAATAAGCCATGGGATCCCAAGTATTAAGCATTTTAATAAAGAGTAAATAAGAAAAATGTAACATGAGGTACTTAGCACAATGTCTGATACCTACTAAGTGCTCGATAAATTTTGGCTATTATTATTGCTAAGATTATTTAACACATGCTGCCTTCGTGCCAATTAAGGATTGCTTTGGATCAAATCTACACATGCAAATGGTTTACTTCATTATCATTAAAGGGAAGTAATCGAGAAAAAATGTATTTTAATCTGATGAAAATTAAGATAGATTCTTTGCCTAGCAAAGCCATTCTGAGTTGGATCTCCTCCATCATCCCCAGTCTGATGTCTGTAGGCAGAAAAGAAGGGCAAAGAAAGAGGGGACATAGCAGCACAGAGGCCCAGAGAAGCCCAGGCCACCTGCCTGCCTAAGGAGACCTCCAACAGTGAGCATGTTAACGGGTTGCCCTGGTACGGGTGGACCAGAGCATTTATACATTTACATGAGTGTGTTTCACGCCTAGATGAGCAAACACATCTCCCTGAGCGTACCCTGTTGTACAGTTTCCAGTGTCAGTCCCCAATAAGGAAACACAACCCTTTCTGAATTCTCACTGTACAGAAAGCTCACTCCTTCTCAGAGATTCAGCACCTGTCTCCTGTCTCAATGGCCAGGCTGACCTTTTGTATGAAATGCTTGTCAGCAGAGACAAAACTTGCTGGAGAGAAGTAATTTGTTAGTCAACCCTGGCTCGGCTCCAGCTAGACATCTTTTCCCAGGAGCAGGGACTATGGAACAAATGAGGTTCAAGGTCAGACTCTCTTTACACTGCTCTCTGAGCTAGGTGCCCACAGGTTCAGCTGGGCCACAACCCTTACTTACTTTTAGTCTCACAAAACACATAAAAACAAACTTTTTGTTTCCCCGGTCCCGTTGTTGGTTGATGTTTGCAAGTGCTGGGATGTGGAAATTGCGGTGGGTGCATTAAGAAAGGGAAATATTTATGAGAGCATCAGGCCAGCACTCAAGTGCTGCCTGTGGCTCACCCGGGTGTATAGCCTACTTTGCCTGGAACTATAAACTGTGGCCTGGGAAGACGGCCCTGGATTAAGCCCAATCTATAGCATTTCCTGTATTTGAAAAAGCAGCATAGACAAAACGTCTGCACCCTTCTATAGAATAAACAGAATGAGAAGGGCTCAGTTCTCCCTGTAAACATGGGATAAAAATAGCCATGTCCCTTGAATGGACATGCTGGGTTCAATTGACCTAATGTTCCCTTCTTGAGAAAGAGCCCAGAGCATCGAGCTGATGACAGTCCCCTGTGTTTGCCTTATGGTGATCATCTGGAATCTGCTGACTGTTCCCATCTTCAGTCTCCTCTGCTCATCTGGAAGGCACTGGAGTTGGGAACCATTGTGCACTTAAAACTCCTCTCTGGGGACAAACTGGGACATTGGAACAGGACCTTGTCAGGTTCTCAAGCACTGCCTGATGATGTGTTTGTTCAGCCTGGTGTGGTCTCTGTTGACTGTCCTGGAAAGGACACATTTAAATCACATCTCACTTGAAGAAAGCTCTGGATAGAAACCATCTATCGGGCTCATATTGCTACAGTCTATGTTAGTCCTTCTTCATGGCAGCCCTGCTCTCAGCTCCATAGGTACCAGCCATGCCGCTGTCCTGCATAATGATGGGCTAGGCACTTTGCATGTGTGGCCTTACTGGTATTGATGCAGTGAAGAAGTACAGATTCCTAGATTCCTTGAGTTCTCCTGACTGATACAGCTAACGAGTCAGAGCTGTGTGTTGCCAAGTATCCTTATGTGTCCTCTTGGGCCCATGATAAAACATCTTCATTCATGTTGCACTGGGGAGGGGGCCACTTATCTCACGGAGATAAGTTTGTAAGCACAGGTACACCATGTAGGAACTGGCCCTGGAGACCAGGGCTAGTCTTCCCTCTGCCTTTCCCATTCTCTTCCCTCTCCTCTCCCTACCATCTTCCTGCTATTCTTCCTTCTCTTCCTCACTGCCTTCCCTTCCAATTCCTCCTGTGCCTCCTGAACACCCAAAGATCACAGGTCTTGTCACTTCCCCAGGGCCCCACAGTGATCTCCCTGCTATGATCTGTCTGTGCTGTAGGCTCTGCAAGAGGAAATTGTCATTGCTGGCTGCAAGATGAGGTTGAGCTATCTGAGCAGCCGCACCCCTGGCTATAAGTCTGTCCTGAGGATCAGTCTCACACACCCCACCATCCCCTTCAACCTCATGAAGGTCCACCTCATGGTGGCAGTCGAGGGTCGGCTCTTCAGGAAGTGGTTTGCTGCAGCTCCTGACCTATCCTATTACTTCATCTGGGACAAGACAGACGTCTACAACCAGAAAGTGTTTGGGCTCTCGGAAGCCTTCGGTAAGTCTCCCCTAAGCACTTGTGACACAGGCGCCACACATTGGCAGAGACAGAGCAGAACCGAGGAAGCAGCTTCCCTTATGGATGTCTTCCTTCCTTCCTTCCTGTTTTCCTTCCTTCCTGTTTTCCTTCCTTCCTTCTTTCCTTTCTTCCTTCCTTCCTTCCTTCCTTCCTTCCTTCCTTCCTTCCTTCCTTCCTTCCTTCCTTCCTTCCTCTTTTCAGGTCAAAACCTGCTAGGGCTTAATGGGGCTATAAGACCTCCATAACCTAGAAGGATACATTGAAAGACCTGAGTGAGCAAAGCCCAAGAATGAGAAGTAGTTATAGCACCAGAACAACCCTCAGAAAGTACTATGGAGGTATGTGATGGGTTAAAATATACCCATGCGCTACACAGTATACCTACTGTGTGCCAGGAAAGCAGACTATGCATATGTTATCTGGCCACTCTACACCCATCCTGCCGAAATCTAAAATTAAACTAGAGGGGGCCAAGGTTGGGCTGCCTTCGTGTTTTCAGTTATAAGGACTGAAGTCAGAACTTGTGCAAGATGACTGTCTCTCCAACTTCTAAATTAGAGCAGGGTCCCAGAATCTGCAGAGAGACAGTCCGTAGTCATGACCCCATCTGTGCAAGACGACTGAGGAGCAAAAGCCCAGCAAATTCCTTCAGCTCAAACTGTAGTCCCATTCAATTGTCTTCACCTAGCAAAGACCTAAAGGAACTGAGAAGTCAATTTGCCTGAGAAAGGGAAGAGAGAAGGGAGAGAAGGGGAGAGTTGTTGTGGGAGGCAGGAAGGAGCTGAGACACTCTCTTGAGCCCCTACTCCATGAAATACTATAGATTGGACTTAATGTGTCAGACACGTTAGCACCACAATGAATCCCACAGCCACACCCTTTGGAGGATGCTAACACACCAACTACAGTGACATCCTAAGCATGCACAGATAGATGGAAGAGAACTAGATTCATCCAGATCTTCATTAGGATTTGCATCCCTGCCCTGTGACAGCTGATGCTCTCCTAAGACCACAGAAACCAAGCTTAGAGAACTCATAAATTTTTTAAATCATAGATGACTGAAAACAGTCAGCTTCTCAACTGATTGTCTTTCTTTTAGCATCTCCTATGACATCAGCTGGTCTTTGTGACCATGATGTCCAGGGGGGTGAGTAATATTTCAGGACTGGACATGATTAGATTCTCACCTGACTGAACATCTTGTCACTCTCAACTGTCTATGGTCACAAATAAGGCTACAGTGGAAAGTTCGTAGGATACTATAGAGTTTGTGTCCTCAAAATGCATATAAAAGCCAACTGCACTCCATGCACATGTATACACACACCCACACACACATATGCACTCACATACATGTGGACAGTATGAACACTTTTAAAAGATTATTCCCCCAAATCAACTCACTTGGGTCTTTTTCAAAGTGTGTGGCATATTTAACTTTTCCTAATAATATACAGTTGATCTTTGAAACAAAAAGGTTTTAAGGCCCAGCATCACTGTGTTGGTATTTGGTATTTCACATGGTTCTAGTTCCCAAGTAAAAGCATGACCCTTTTTATCTTCCCTATGATAGTTAGTCAGGGGCCTTGCCTGCGGGGCTGAGGGTCAGAGAGGAGACTTTGCTCATCTGTACACTTTGCTCTTCTGTCCCTGTAGTTTCCGTGGGTTATGAATACGAATCCTGCCCAGATCTGATCCTGTGGGAGAAAAGGACAGCGGTGCTGCAGGGCTATGAAATCGATGCCTCCAAGCTGGGGGGCTGGAGTCTGGATAAGCACCATGCCCTGAACATCCAGAGTGGTGAGTGGAATCATGGGATCCCTTGATCGAGGCTAAGGTGGCACCTTCTTTGCTATCCTGTTATCCTCACACACACACACACACACACACGAGAGAGAGAGAGAGAGAGAGAGAGAGAGAGAGAGAGAGAAACAAAGAAAGAAACAAAGAAAGAAACAAGGAAAAGGAAGAAAAAGAGAAGGAAAAAAAAAAAAGGGGAAAAGTAAAAAAAAAAAAGCATACAGTGTCAACATGGGCTCCAAGGTGATCAGTCATTTAGAAGGTTGTCAGAAATGACAGATGAAAACATAGGACACCAGAAAGACATAGGAGAAGCATGTCATTTTTTGTCATTAAAGCAACAATGGAGAGAGGATTCCTGTGCAGCATCCCAAAAGGACTAGGATTAGCCTTGGGTATCAAGTAGGAGACACTCTAAGAGAGCAGCCATGAGTCAAGGAAGCGCAGCTATGCAGAAGAGTTCTTGGAGAGAAGGTCCAGTCTCTGTAATTTGGGCTGAGTGAGACGGAAGAAAGAACTCCCAAGTCCAGGCATAAGCAACTGGAACCTGGGGTAAGAGTATTATGACTTCAGGCTTCATCCACAGTGGGTGTCACTCATATCTGTACATTAAGAAACTCAGCCTGACCCTCTTCTGCCTTGGGACAGGGGTCATAGTGACAATGTGGGATAGTAATAATGTTGGCTATTAAGGATAGTAACAATGTTGCTTAATAGGGGTAGTAACAATGTTGCTTATTAGGGATAGCAACAATGATGCTTATTAGGGAAAGTAACAATGTTGCTTGTTAGGGGTGGTAACAGTGTTGCTTATCTCCTGACTAGTCTAAAATTGGAAGGAATGCTTGTCAATCCCACAACATGTTTAAAATAGAGAAGTTGAAAACCAAATCAAAAAATGTATAACAAAATATTTGTATATTCCTATGAGTCTCTAAAACAGGAGCAAAAGACAAGGACTCGGCACATAATAAAGTTAGAAAATGAAAATCTGGAGCTGTGTGGTACTGATAGAGAAACAGGTAAATAGAGTCATAGGTAGAAATGACCCATGACCAGTATGAACAGAAGGAGAAGCATGGTCTTGAAGGAGAAGCACAAATGTCAGCAAGCATGAGAAAGAATCGCCTAACATCCTTTGGTCGTCAGGACATGAAACTCCCATGAGAAAGTCTATCTCCCCCCAGTTGGAATGGCCAACGTCATCAAGATCAATCCAGGGAGGGGAGTATATATCTAACATACAGTTTATTTTCTTCAAAGTTATATAAAAATAAACCTTTAAAGAATAAATAAAATGGAGAAAAGAAAACAATAATAGAGACAGTACAGAAAAGGAAATCCTTATATACCACTGGCAGAAATGTGATTCAATGTTCCCATGGTGGAAAACAGTGCAGTAGGTCCTCAAACAACCACATGAGAAGATGCGTCAAAGGATGTAATTCACCCTAGCACAGAATGCCTAACCGTCATGTTTACTGCTGCACTGTTCACAATATCCACATTATGAAACCAGCTTAGCAGTCCATCAAGAGATGAATAGATAAAGAAAATGTATCTTATATAATGGAGTCTTATTTAGCTATAACAAAGAACAAAATTACATTATTTGCAGGGAAATGGACAGGACTGAAGAAAATAATATTAAGTAAAATAAGCTAGATTCAAATACCTTTGTTTTCCTAATGTAAGGAATCTATTTTTTTTCCCTCAAATGATGTAGAAGTAGAAAGATATCTGTTTAGGAACAAGATGGAGAACAAGGCTAGAGGGGAAAGAGAAGGCAATGGACTAGGTGAA